TATATATATATATATAAACATGCGGAAGGAAAAAGGAAATAAATAAATATAAACAAATAAATAAATAAATATATTATTTATTAATAAATAAACATTTATTTTATTTATTTATTTATTTATATTTATTTATTTCTTACTACTTATTTGTATGTTTTTTTCTTATAACATACAAATAACCGCCAATACACCTAAACCCTAAACCCTAAACCCTAAACCCTACACATCCATTTATATGGGGGCCCCCATCACGTGGGTTTACCTTGGGGGCCCCCTTCTTCTAATAACTTGGGGGCCCCCTCTTCTATATATATATATACCCTCTTCTGTCCTTCCCCCCCCCCTCCTAACATAAAATGGGGGGCCCCTACTAACTTGGGGGGCCCCCTCTAACTTGGGGGGCCCCTCTCTAACTTGGGGGGCCCAACCTACCTTGTGGGCCCCTTCTAACTACGGGGGACCCCCACTAACTAGGGGGCCCCTTTCTAACTTTGGGGGCCCCCCATCTACAGTGGGGGGCCCAAATCTACCTCGGGGGCCCCCCTCTACGTTGGGGGGCCCCCCGCTACCTTGGGGGCCCCCTATCTAGAGTGGGGGGCCCCTTTTTTCTATGTTCATCTTGCTCCTCTTCCGGTACCCCTCCCCCCCTTGTTACTCTGGGGGCCCCTATCGGGGGGGGCCCCCCTTAGGGGGTCCCCCCTTAGGGGGCCCCCCCCTATATATAAAGAAAAAAAAAGGACAAGAGAAAGAGAAAATGCCTTAATAGAATTCACTGTGTTTAATTAGACATTAAGTCTGTCGCTGCTGCAGTTGCTGCTGTTGCTGCAGTTGCTGCTGTTGCTGCTGCTGCTGCTGCTCCTTCGCCTCCTATGATGGCGGCGATGGTTACTTCTGCTGCTGCTGCTCCTGCTGCTCCTGCTGCTGCTGTTGCTGCTAGCATGGTGCAGAGGATCCGCAGCAACTACAGCTATTGGATCCTCCCGCTGTGTGTGACGCTGCGCTGCTGCTGCAGTTGCTGCTGCTGCAGTTGCTGCTGCTGCAGTTGCTGCTGCTGCAGTTGCTGCTGCTCGTGATGCAGCAATCCTTGTTCTTGCTGCTGCATCTGTTGCTGCTGCTGCTGCATGCACTCGTCTAGCAAGGGAGCCAGGAGCTGAGGATACACCCCAACTTGCTGCTGCTGCATCAACAGGCAGCTTGTTGCTGCGGCTCCTATCATCTCCTATTCCTGCTGCTGCATGCTGCTGCTGCTCCTGCTGCTGCTGCTCCTGCTGCGGCAGCGGCGAGCTAAATCCTCTATTACTTCTATCACTAGTACTATCGCTGCTCTCTCCTGTAGCTTGCTGCTGCAGCATAAGTTGCTGCTGTGTCTGATGTTGCTGCTGTTGTTGCTGCTGCTGCTGCCCGCTGCAGCAACTATCACTATACCCAACAGATACAGCTAAGGGCTTATCTCCTTCCCCTTCTGCTGCACCTAACTTAGAGAATAAGGAGATACCCTGGGGGCCCCCGGGGGCCCCCCCCATGGCATTTGCTGACGTCATGTCTGATACTGTAGGGTCTACTAAGGATGCTGCAGCAGCAGACACACATATATACAACTCCTGCTGCTGCTGCTGCTGCTGTTGTTGCTGCTGCTGCTGATGGGGATGGGGATGTGCTGCTGCTAGGGGGGATGTTGTGTTACGGAGTCATGCTGCTTCTGCTGCTGCTAGTGCTGCTGCTAGTGCTGCTGTTAGTGCTGCTACTGCTCCTATTAGGGTTTAGGGTTTAGGGTTTAGGGTTTACGTGTTTTGGAGCTTAAAGGAGGGAAGATTTGCTGCACTGCATGCGCTGTTAAAATAGCCGTGGGGCTTGGGAAAAATTCCGTCAATCTGCAGCAGCAGCAGCAGCAGCAGCAGCAACAGCAGCAAGAGCAGTAGCAAGAGCAGCAGCAGCAGCATAAAGATATGCACATCCTTAGAAAGCTATCAACTGAACTAGGGTTTAGGGTTTAGGGTTTAGGGTTTAGGGTTTACCGTGGAGGCATGGCTACAGCTTCACTAGATGGAGCCCAAGACCTGTAAGACTCTGGCGGATCTTCGACGGGGCGAGGCGCCTGCACCACAAACCCTAAACCCTAAACCCTAAACCCTAAACCCTAAACCCTAAACCGTAAAAATATCATTTTGTATGCTAAAACTACGCGTTAAACCCTCAATATATTCCCTCCGTATCCCGTAAAACCCTAAACCCTAAACCCTAAACCCTAAACCCTCACCTGTTCGGATAGATTTTTATGTAGAGTATTACTATTATGTGTTTTATGTTTAATAGTAAGAATAATAATACCCGATAAACAAAGAAGAAGACCAAGAAAAAAACAAAGAAAAGAAGAAGGGGTTTCCTTTAATAACATTATTGCCCCTACTATACCCTCAGCTACTAAACAACTATTTGTTGTAGGTATTACGTATATTGCCTCAAATCTGTACACATTAATATATATATATAAACCCTAAACCCTAAACCCTAAACCCTAATAACCAATAGGAAATAATATAACACACAAAAAAAAAATAAAACAGCAAAAAAAAACACTAAAAACTCATAGAAACACACTCATAAACCCTAAACCCTAGTAAACCCTAGAATAAACCCTAGTAAACCCTAAACCCTAGAAAACCCTAATTTCTTGCATTATTATTATATATGCATGAATTCACAAGACAGCAAAACCCTAAACCCTCAAAAACCCAGAAGCTCTCTACAACCCCTATACACCCTCCTAGGATTTATGTGTATAGTGTTTAGGGTTTATTAGGGTTTAGGGTTTAGGGTTTAGGGTTTAGGGTTTACTTTCTGAGGGCTGTATTGAGAAATAAGAGTTGAAGTAACGCCAAAGAAACAGTCGCAAATAAAACCACGTAAACCTCCCAACTGCAAACAACAAGAAAAAAAATTAGGGTTTAGGGTTTAGGGTTTAGGGAAGAAGATACTTACACCTCTCTAAACCCTCATAAACCCTAATAAACCCTCACCCTAACCCTAATAATCCCTAAACCATAAACCCTAGTAAACCCTAAACCCCAACATGGATAGAATAGATACATCTCCTGTAAACATTTGTGTACCAACACTTACACATCTAAACCCTAGTAAACCCTAAACCCTAGTAAACCCTAAACCCTAAACCCTAAACCCTAATAAACCCTAACGTGGATAGTAGAGATATATATCCTTTAAAGATTTGTGTAGCAGCAATAGTTAATACTTTTGCAGATACATTAACCCAAAACCCTAGTAAACCCTAGTAAACCCTAGTAAACCCTAGTAAACCCTAGTAAACCCTAGTAAACCCTAGTAAACCCTTGTAAACCCTAAACCCTAAACCCTAACCTGCGTAATAGAGAGACATCTCCCTTAAAGATTTGTGTAGCAGCAATAGTTAATACTTTTGCAGATACATTTGTATTTCCTCCGAATACACCTGATGCTAATGCTAAGGATAAACGCTGAAAATACACCACACACAAACCCTAAACCCTAATAAACCCTAATAAACCCTAATAAACCGTAATAAACCCTAATAAACCGTAATAAACCCTAATAAACCCTAATAAACCCTAATAAACCCTAATAAACCCTAATAAACCGTAATAAACCGTAATAAGCAATCAATATTCTCCCTAGAGATCCTCTAGTCGCCTCTGTTCCTCCGTGCCTGGATCCCTCTGCCCAACCCTAATCCCTAATAAATCGTAATAATATAAATAAACCCTAAACCCTAATATTATTTAATATATACCTGTACAGGTAGCTCATAAGATCCAAGATTACATGGATATAATTTTTGGCTAAGTATAACAAGAATAGCAGCAGCAGCAGAAGAGAAGGAGATATATATAATAGCAATATAATCATAATAAAAAGAATAAGAATAAGAAGAAGAAGAAGAAGAAGAAGAATAAGAAGAAAAGAATAATAATAATATATTATTATTTTTTCCTGCAAATAATACCAATAATAATACACCTATTATTACTAATGTAGACCCTAATAACTCCCATTTGCCAACTTCTTCTCTTAGCCAAAAATAAGAGAATAAAACTGCCCAGAATATATGTACACCTGCAAATGGTGTAACCATTGACTGCATGCATGCATACGCATATATACATTATTTATTTATTTATTTATTTATTTATTTATTCTTTATGGGTAAGGAGGGAACAGGGGAATCATTTGAGCTCATTAGGGTTTATTCTTATTATTTTTCTCTTATTATATGCAAAAAGGGTTTATATTAGGGTTTTTATTAGGGTTTATATATTATGAGGGTTTATATTAGGGTTTATATATTATGAGGGTTTATATTAGGGTTTATATTATGAGGGTTTATATTATTAGGGTTTATATTATGAGGGTTTATATTATTAGGGTTTATATTATATGAGGGTTTATATTATATGAGGGTTTATATTATATGAGGGTTTATATTATATGAGGGTTTAGATTATATGAGGGTTTATATTATATGAGGGTTTATATTATATGAGGGTTTATATTATATGAGGGTTTAGATTAGGGTTTAGGGTTTACGGAGGGAGCAAAGGTAAGAGCACCTAATGTGCATGCAGCATCAATAGCAGTTGTTAATATCATGCCAATAATAAACATTGGTCTTTTTAGCATTTCTTTTGTTGAGGGTTCAGGTCCTGCTGCACTATAGGACATTCGTACCATTGTATCTGCATATATAAACCCTAAACCCTAAAATATAAACCCTAATAAACCCTAAATGAGACAAAATCATATAAATGGGGAAAAAAAGCAAAAAAAAATATACACAAATAACTATTTTATTCATAATCAGGATTTATATTCATATAATTAGGGTTTAGGGTTTATTCAAGGGTTTATTAGGGTTTAGGGTTTAGGGTTTAGGGTTTATTACCTCCAGCAGCGCCAGCAAGAGAGCCACAGAAGATTATGGCAATACCCAAGGGCCATAGGCCCTGATATACTGTTGCTTCCTCCGTCATCCCTAAACCCTAAACCCTAAACCCTAAACCCTAGAAAAGCCTAAACCCTAGTAAACCCTTATTTTCTAGGGTATATAGGGTTGGGCCCCAAGAGGCGTTGAGCCTCCTGTTAGGGCGGGAGAATTATCCTCCAGCGTCTAGGGTTTAGGGTTTACGACCTATATATATAGGATTTATTCTATATATATATTTATTAGGGTTTAGGGTTTAGGGTTTAGGGTTTAGGGTTTTTAGTCGGCCCTAATAAGGCCGCTATAGAAAGATATGCGATATGAAATATATACGAATTGTGCTAAAATAAACCCTAAACCCTAAACCCTAATATAAACCCTAGGGTAAACCCTAATATATAAACCCTAAACCCTAATAATAATACTAAACCCTCGCTGCTGCTGCTGCTGCTGCTGCTGCTGCTGCTGCTGTGTGTCTCGCTTCCCTCCTCACCACTAAACCCTAAAGTCTACCTTAATGTAAACCCTAGGAAAAAATAAAAGAGAGAAAGGAGGAGAGAAGAGGCAAGAAAGGAAAGGAACACTGAGGTGTATGTACACCTCACTGGGGGCCTCAGCAGCAGCAGCAGCAGCAAGGGTTTATAATTATATATATTTATGCGATTAAGGATTTAAATAAGTGTTTTCTTCATGTTTGCGACATTTTATTTAATTAAATTAATAAAAATAACCTAAAAAACACCTTTTTAGGGTTTCTACACGATACGATTTAGTAGTGTTTAGTGTTTAGGGTTTAGGGTTTAGGGTTTAGGGTTTGTTGTTGGCGCTCGCCCGTGTTGTTGTTGTTGTTTGTTCTTGTTTTCTTCTTTTCTTCACTAAACCCTTTTTTAGGGTTTAGTGCTGCTTGTCTGTTTGTCTTTTATATTATATTTCTTTTTTATTTATTTAATTAATTATATTAAACCCTAAACCCTAAACCCTAAACCCTAATTTTATAAACCCTAATTATATATTTTTTTTTTTTTTTTTTATTAACCCTAAACCCTACATTTATTTATTTATACACCATAAAATATAATTGCTGCTTCCTTTATTTTCTTTTTATTCTTTTTATTCTTTATTTATTTATTTTTCTTTTTTTTTTATTTTTCTTTTTTTTTTATTTATTTTTTATTTCTTTTTCCTCTCCCACCTCTCTCTCTTATCCTAAACCCTGCATATACACCTCAATAAACCCTAAACCCTAAACCCTAAACCCTAATTTAATACGTTAAATATCTCTATATAAAATAATTAATTGACAAAAAATAACGGTTTACTAAACCCTAAACCCTAAACCCTAATTATATAATACTATATAACGTCAATATACACCAGCTAGCTAGGGTTTACGCTGCTGCTTTTTCTTCTTTTTTTCTCTTCTTTTCTTTATTTCTTTATTTATACATCTTGTCTTTATTCTCTTTCTTATTAAACCCTAATTATATTATTTATTAGAAACATATTTATGCATGCATGCATGCATGCATGCATGCATGCATAAATATTTATTTATTTATTTATATATACCCTATTGCTTCAGGGTTTATTGTACAGTAAACCCTAAACCCTAAACCCTAGAGGACCCAATATGAGCTCCCTAAACCCTAAACCCTAATATTAACGTAGAGAAGAGGCTCTCTATTAGATACTTTATCCCTTCCTCGCTTGCTAGGGTCTAGGGTTTAGGGTTTAGGGTTTATAACAATAATAGTAATAATAATAAAATAATAAGAATAATTAATGAATAAAATAAATATTATTTTGTTTATTATATTTCTATTTGTTTAGTAGTACTAATATATACTCATTTAGTTCCTTTTTATGTTTTTATTTATTTATTTATTTATTTATTTTATTTATTTTATTTATTTATTGCCTTTTATCTTTATGAGCTGCCTATACACCCCAATTATACAATAAGCTGCCTATACACCCCAAGGTGCAACAAAAAAAGAAAATAAAAAAAGAAAATGAGGTGTACAGGCAGCTCTATTTAATTAAGAAAAGAATAAATCTATTTATTAAGGATAATAAGAAATGCACTTATTTATTTATTTATTTATTTATTTACTTATTTATTTTATTTATTTATTGGGGTGTATGCACCTCAATAAATAAGAAATAAAATTATGAGTATATTTGTGGTGTACAGGCAGCTCACAAAACAGGCAATAATAACGCAGATTTATTATAATTATAATTATAATAAATAAATAATAAATAAATAAATAAATAAAATAAATAAATAAATAAATAAAATAATTAACTAATTTAATTAAGTAAATAAATGCGTCAGCCGGGACTCGAACCCGGGTCGCAACCTTGGGAGGGTTGCATCCTACCCCTGGACTACTAACGCGATGCATAAATTGCTGCTGCTGCTGCTGCAGTTGCTGCTGCTGCTGCTGCTGCTGCTGCTGCTGCTGTTGCTGTTGTTGTCGCTGCTGCTGCTGTTGCTGCTGCTTCTGTTTATTTTACCAGCAGCAACAGCAGCAGCAGCAGCGGGGGATAAATGTTTATGCCTACAAGGAAGCTATGTTCTGTAGCAGAGGAGTAGTGCTGCTATTGCTGCTTCTGCTGCTTCTGTTGCTGCTGTTGCTTCTGCTGTTGCTGTTCCTGCTGCTGCTGCTGCTGTTGCTGTTGCTGCTGCTGCTGCTGTTGCTGTCGCGTCAGTAGTCCAGGGGTAGGATGCAACCCTCCCAAGGTTGCGACCCGGGTTCGAGTCCCGGCTGACGCATTTATTTAATTTAATTAATTAATTAATTTATTTATTTATTTATTTATTTATTTATTTATTTATTTATTTAAATTTAATTATTTAATTTAATTGATTTAATTAGCTAATTAATTTAATTAATTATTTATTTTATTTATTTATTTTTTTTTCTTTTTCTCTACTAATGTCTTATAGCTAGCTAATAGTTATACTAATATAGCTAGCTATATATATAGCTAGCTAAGAAAACAGCTAGCTAGACATATGGCTAATTAGCTAGCTAGCTAGCTAGCTAGCTAGCTAGCTAGCTAGCTAGCTGTTGCAGCAAATACACAAAACACCTTAAAAGAAGAACACCTTGTTTACATTTTTACTCCCTCAAGCCAAATGGCTAGCTAGCTAGCTAGCTTACCCGGTAGCACCGTAGCCACCCAACTAGCTAGCTACCTAGCCAGCTACCTAACCAGCCAACCAGCCAACTAGCTAGCTAGCTAGCTAGCCAGCTAGCTAGCTAGCTAGCTAGCCATGACTTGATGAACACAAGAGGCAAATGCGACTTAATAGAAGAAAAGAAAACAAACAGACAAACAATCTAAAGGCAAACAAACAAACAAACAAATACACAGAAAGGAGCTGTGTGTAGCTAGCTAGCTACCTATCTATGGAGGATATTTGCTACCTAGCTAGCTAGCTAGCTAGCTAGGCTAGCTAGCTAGCTAACAAGCTCACTAACTAGCTAGCTAGCTAGCTAGCTAGCTACCTAACCAAATAACCACGCACGTATTAAGAGAAGGCAGCTAGCTAACCAACCACCTAGCTCGCAGCTGGCTCGCTGGGCCGGAGGAGGTTGGGGCTTTGTTTCCTCCTGCTGCATGCATGCATGCATGCATGCATGCATGCATGCATGCAACAGCAAGAAAGCCCCAAAGTTTTTTTTTATTTATTTATTTTTTTTTCCCTCCGGGCAATTAAAATCTAAAGGCATGCAAATGAAGACTCCCACAATTATTTATTCCTCTGCAGCGCATGCAGACAGCAGCAGCAGCAGCAGCAGCAGCAGCAGCAGTGGTGCTGCTGCTGCTGCTGCTGCTGCTACTGCTACTGTTTCTGTTGCTGCTGCTTCTGTTTCTGCCCGTGCTGCTATTGCTGCTGCTGCTGCTGCTGCTGCTGCTGCTGCCGCGCTCCTTGCGAGATGAGACCAGATAAAGGCAGCAAATCACCAACTATAGACCCAGCTAGCTAGCTAGCTAGCTAGCTAGCTAGCTAGCCAACTAGCCATATAGCCAACTAGCCAGATCGCCAGATAGCTAGCCAGATAGCTAGCTAGTTAGTTAACCAACTGGCTGGCTAGCTAGCTAGCTAGCTAGCTAGCTAGCTGAGTCTACGCAACGAGTTGTCTCCTCTAGCTGTTCCCTCTGCTTATCACTGCTATGCCTTGCGGGCAGAGCAACAGAGCTAGCTAGCTAGCTAGCTAGCTAGCCAGCTAGCTAGTCAGCTATGTAGCTAGCTAGCCAGCTAGCTAGTCAGCTAATTAGCTAGCTAGCTAGCTAGCTAGCTAATGATTTTTGTCTGTGTCTTCAGGGTCTTTGCCGTGTATGCGCTGTATAGGGTAAAAAGGAGCAGCAGACGCAGAGCAACTGCAGCAGCAGCTGCTGCTGCTGCTGTTGCTGCTGCTGCTGCTGTTGTTGTCGCTGCTGTTTCTTATGCTGACGCCGCTGTTTCTGATAATGTCGCTGTTTTTGCTGCTACCGCTGCTGCTGCTGCAGCTGCTGCAGCTGCAGCTGCTGCAGCAAAGTCAATCTGCTGCTGCTGCTGCTGCTTCTGGCGATAGAGAAAGCGTCGGAGCTTCGTCAAAAGATGCAGCAGTCTGCTGCTGCTGCTGCTGCTGCTGCTGCTGCTGCTGCTGCTGCTGCTGCTGTGTGTCCCCCTGCTCTTGTTGCTCCTGCTTTTCCCTCTTCTGCTCGCCCTCTTGTTGCGGTTCCTCCGCCTGCTGCTGCTGCTGCTGCTGCGAGGCAGCTGGAGGTGCAGTACAAAAAAGACTATAAGTCTTATCTGCTTCCTGCAGCAGCTGAGGTCCTACTGTTGCTGCTGCTGCTGCTGCTGCTGCCTCTGCTGCATCCTTCCATTTATCCCGCAGCAAACCATAAAACTCCATTACCTGCACAACAAACCCTAAACCCTAAACCCTAAACCCTAATTCGTAAACCCTAGACCCGACCATCTTACACAACAAACCCTAAACCCTAAACCCTAAACCCTAAACCCTAGAGTTATGTCTTTACTTACCGCCTGTACGCGAAGCTCATCTTCCTCCTCGTCTTTTGGCTCCGGTTGCTGCTGCTGCTGCTGCTGCTGCTGCTGGTTCTCCTGTTGCTGCTGCTCCTTCTCATTTTGCTGCAGCCGCTGCTGCGCCTCATCTAGTGTCTTGAGCAGCAGCAGCGATTGCTGCACATCAAGGAGTACGCCTGCATGCTGCTGCAGTTCTGCTGCTTCTGCTGCAGTGAATTGCCGACTCGGTGCCTGCTGCTGCTGTTGCTGCTGCGGAGGTTGCTGCGGAGGTTGGTGCTGTTGTTGTTGCTGCTGTCGCGGCTCCAAGCTGTCTTCCTCTCCCTTCTGCTGCTGCTGCTGCTGCTGCAGCTCTTCCTTTTCTGCCATCAAAGCTGCCTGCTGCTGCTGCCGCTGCTGCTGCTGCTGCTGCGGCAGTGTTGTTAGCGCGAGGTGCAGCAAAGCAACTAATGCACCTGGTGCTGCTGCTGATGACATAAGAGGAGAAGCAGCAGCACCACCACCAAATCCCCCACACTTTTGCTGCTGCTGCAGCGGAGGGGAGAAGGATATAAGAGGGGAAACAGAGGGAGGGCTGCTGCACAGACGAGAGCGCAGCAGCAGCTGCTGCTGTGCTGCTGCTGCTGCTGCTGCTGCAGCAGAGGCAGCCCCATCTGCTGCGCTGCCGTCATCGCCCGGAGGGCCACTAGCCTCCATTTGTTGCTGCAGCAGCAACAGCAGCAAATAATACAGCAGCAGCAGCAATAGATACAGCAGTACGTATACCACCAACAAGCCAGCAGCAGCAGCAGCAGCAGCAGTTGCAGCAAATAATAATGCAGCAGCAGCAGCAGCAGCAAATAGAGCAGCAGAAGAGCAACAGCAGTTGCACAACTAGAGCAGCAGCACCAAAACAACCACAGCAGCAGCACCACTACTACAGCAGCAGCACAACAGCAACAACAGCAACAGCAACAGCAGCAGCAGCAGCAGCAGCAGCAGCAGCAGCAGCAGCAGCAGCAGCATACCATTTCGATTCTTTGATTTCTGGCCTCTAATCTGCTTCCTCTTTCTCTTGCCCCTACTCGTCTATTCTTCATTAGTATAC